CATTCTATTTTCTTACAATAAGATACCCAAAATGCAAATTTGTTTTGAATTTCAAGTTTTACGATAACTAAAATGATGATAACAACAAAAGTTAATATAACCATTCTATTTATGTTGAAGACAATCTGTGAATATGATTAATGATAGATGAAAAATAAGAGCAAAAGATTATATAAATGCTGTGCTTCATACCGCAATAAAAACCTAGATGCTACTTTATGATTTTAATTTAAAAAAAAGGTGTAGATAACGAACTTTTTCTTATATTCGGATAAATAGAATTGAATTATTATTATAATTGTTTACTCAATATACATAAATATGAAGACAGCTAATAAAGTTCCTCAATAAATATTAAAAAATCAATGATTGTCAAAAATGATCAATTCTACACAAAACTCTAGAATTTTAAATATTCGCAAACGAAATTCATGAATATTCAAACAACGATAGATAGCTTTACCTTAAACATAGTTACGATACTTATTGATATAATTCACACATATGTACAGCATCGAGCGAGAATGAAAGAGTAGTATGAAGTGAGCCAAACTTAGCATCAGTCAAACTTGGGTCGTTTACTATTTTTCCTTATACCTATTACAGAATGATCATTAAATACCATCAGCTAACAACGAACTATTTTTAATGATACATATCTTTGTCTGTTAGTTCAATATGATTTAAGAAAAAGAATTATTTGAATCTACTTTTTCATAACAAAGTTATAATGTATTTGTTTCAACAGAATAGTTTCCTGAGGAAAAGTGATCGGCAGAACGAAGAATTCTAAAACTGGACACTGTTGAATCTGATGGAATCATGTTTAATTTACATCTGAATATGAGATAGTATTTGACATTCTACGTTATCGTCACTCTCTATCGACTTCTGTCCTCTCGTACAATTAGCTAAACATCATCAACTTAAATATGCACTTTATTTTAGCTGATTATTACATTCTTCAAAATAAAATTAAAATTAAAGAAATAATTTCTATTGATTGTTTATTTAGTTGTACAGCTTTCATTCTTACTGTAAATAGTCGTTCAGAAAAAGTGAATGTTTGGTTTAGGTTAATGAGAAATAGCTTTGTGTCGTCATAAAAAGTATTATACAAATCTATTTCACATCTTGTCTAATAATTACAAAAAAAGCAAAACTAGATACTTTATTACCATCGAATTTCATCAAGTTAGACAAGTTCCCAGCGTCAGATAGTGCTAGGATTTGACGAAAGGATTTCAACTTGGAATTCGCTGTCAGAATAAATTAGTAGAGAGCGTCATCTATTAACTTTTCTAAAAATGATCACCATTATATTTTTGTACAAATATGATTAAGATCTCTTTGATCATGAATGTAAATAAATCTTGAATAATGATCCAATTATAAAAGTATTTTCACACAATGCAATTAAGAAGAACCACTAAAAAACCAAGCGTACTCAATGTGTCAATTAGCAGGTCATGAAATTTATTTTTCAATATGATTCATATATTTTACCTGTAAATGCAACGAACAAGAAAAAAAATAGTTGAGCTACAGTCAAATGAGGACTGCAATATGATTGGTTCGTAAAACCTATGTAACATGAGATGCATTGCTTTAACTCACATGTTTGTTTCACTTTCTTCGACTAAGTTAAAAGGCTGTATCTACAGTAAAAAAAGAGTACTGACAGATATTCATCTCTATTTTAACCAATCTATTTCTTTTAACATTTGTAGAGGATTTTATCTAGTTGCACATTCTTCCGATGAGAGTATTGAAATAAAAGAATTTTTTTAATGAAAACAAAAATAATAAAACATATATTTAATTGATAATTATGACTATTGTAGAATTTCAATCAAAAACTAACAATTCGTCAAGAATCCTAATATAAGTTTTTTTTCTTCTAGACTTTTGTTTTACTTTTTAATTGATTAATGGCCTCAAAATATTCTTTAAATGATACTGGTACTCAATATCTTTCAACTAATGTAAGCACAATTGATTTATTTTAAATATTAACAGTATGATATATAATTTTGTATAGCTTCGACTATGTCCACAATATCAAGAGAATCCCAATTCATGTCCTTCATGTGCATGTCATAATCTTCATATATGTCGTGATTATTTATTGAATAGTAAATGTTCAAAATTAAATTTGAAGGGAAAATGTTCACATTGCCATTCACTTTTTACTGTACACAATCGACTTGTCCTTGACACAATGTTTCAATCATCAGCAACGGATCAACACGAATTTGATAGAGTAGCTCAACTTGTTCGAACTTCAGAACCAAATTCTTCGAAATTGGTATCGCATAGAATTGGACGACTTTCTATTTCAGATGATAATTATGAAACTGATTTAACAAGTGGACAGGTAAAATTAGTTCGTTTTTTTTTAATCAATGATATATTTATATATATATATCTTTCAATCAGATGCATACATCTTCATCTGAACTAACAAGTACTATCACTAGCGGACGAGGTCGTGCTAAACTATCAGTACATGTGCCACCGCCTGGACCATCATTTTCAAAAGAATCTTCACATTCTTTATACAATAGTAAATCATCACAAAGTAGTTTTACTTCATTACCTGGATATCCTACTTCCAGTGATCAATTATCATTAAAAAAAGACACAAAAACTCTTATATCTTCATATGTTTCGAAATTAGTTGATCCAAGTCTTTCATTAACAATGAAATCAAGTACAGCAGACTTACCTTCATATCCAACATCTGAAATCACTAGTCATGGTGTAAAGTTGCTTGGAAAAACATCCGATCAGCAGATGAAAAATAGTAAAAAACTATCGGCAACAACTTCCTTAGCTACGTTTACATCACACAACAATGAGAAATTTACAAACGATTATCATTCAAAATCGTTTGATGAAAGTATATATTGTTTTAATAAACACTTTGATATCATTTTAAATGAATATTGATTAATGAGATTTGAAAAGATTCATAAAGTTGCACTATGTTTCAATCATATATTAATAAATTGATTAAACATTAATGAGGAGCTACTTGAGAAAAAGAACTCACATACACATACTTTTTACAGTAGTAAGAATATGTTAGTACTCTTCGATCCTTTAATCTCTGTTATCATTTTAATTCCTTTTGGGTGTGAATCTTCTCTTTACTACAAACACACCTTAAAGGGATTAAGAATGCTAAAAGGATTAAAAAGGCTAAAGAACCTAATGGATAAAAATATGTAAGTCATAGTTACTTGAAAAGCATAAAAATAAAACGAGATAAATTAAATTTCTCATGTGCATAGATAATACAAGTATTTAAAAGTCAGAAGAAATCACGATAGAACCTCTCAAGGTGTCAAATCGCTTTTCAACCAAGACGATGTTCATTAGATGAGTACTATAGTGAGTAACAGAAAAATCTAGTATGCTTTAGTTTTCTGGACCTTTGCTCTTGAAATATGGAAATTCTATTAGGTTTTTTTCAACAAAAAGCTGTTGTTGTCATCAGCTCACATGGAAAATTAACTTTTGATTTTCGACTTCAAACTTTGCATGAACAGAGTTCTCGAAAAAAAATATTTCCTTAGGCAATTTGTAATTTTTCTAGTACTTCATATCCTAAGATATTCCATATTCGAAATTCTTTCATGTATAAACTCAAATTTTGTTCATATATTTACACATTTGAAATCGAAAACTGAAAAATCGATTTTTCATGTGACCTAAGAGGAACCACAGCTATTTATTGAAGATCTCAGTAAAATTTTGATATGTCAAGAAACAAAGATTCAGAAAATCAAACCATTCTTGACTTTTCTATAACTCTCCAGCACTCATCAAATGAACATCGTCTCGGTCAAAAAATTGATTGAACATCTGGCGAGTCCTATTTCGTCAGTATTGTTATTTCTCATTTTATTTAAAATATGCCTTAGTATACATCTGACACAATGCTCTGTAAATTCTCATATCATAGTAGTTGATTAAAACGAACAGATCTCGTTTTCTTTTTAAGCTGATGATAAACCTGATGTCAATCCGATGGCTACAACAACAGTTTCCGGAAATGAAAAGACAAAATATGCATTTCTTCATCATCAGCTCACACTAGACGATACGACATTGTCTACATTGAATCCAAAGGATCAAATAAAAATTCTACAACAGACAAAATATGTTTTTGATAAATATGTAAAAGATAAACAAGTAAGTATCTCTTTATATAAAATATAATCTATCATATTATTTTGATTAATGTTTCATAATAGAAATCTATATTTTTTCATTTAAAATATTTATTTACCATATTTTAGTTATCATATCTTCTTGGTCCTGGAAGATATTTACTGGAAAATGAAGGATATCAAATACTTCAATCAGGCTATTGTCGATTAAAAAATAATGATGAAGAAAAACAAATTGAGAAAAAAATAGAGAAACTTTTGGCTACTAAATTAAAATCAGACTCTGTGATGCTTCACAACGATGAACTTGTATTAGTTTGTCTTACAGGTGCAGCTGAAAGACTTTTTGAACAAAGTAATATCAATTTGATTCTAACTCAATGATACAAAAAAATTAATTGCATACACATAGATCAAACATATTATGCTATAATCTCAACACCAGATTCAATTTCAAGTAAGTCAGCTAAAACTATCAGCTAATAATAACTAAAATAACATAATCAATCATTTTTCTTACTATAATTACCACTAATTAGCTTGAATATATAGTAGATTAATGAAGCGATCTAGTCAAGTTGTTCATAAATTAAAGAAAATCTCCAATGAGAAATGATAAGAAGAATTTCACAGTAGATTTTCGACAGCACTTATTTACTTCTAATATAATCTACTTACTAAATTGAATGAGCATGAGGAATATGTTCGAAATAAAAAAAACAAAACATACTTTTTCGATTATTGCTGGAAGTTCAGAGCTGTGAATATAAGGGTGACAGTGTACGAATCTTACGTACAACTTTCCACTGACTTAAACATGTACGCGTTGACAAACAGTGAAGACAGTGAATGCATGGTAAAACTATGATGAACTTGGGTTGATTTTAATTGTTTTCACTCGACTAAGTTATTTCAAGAAAATAGCTAAATTTTATAAAAATATACAAAAGATTTTCAGCATCTAGCAATGGAAATCCAAAGGTTATTTGTCGACATTGTCAAGTTGAATTTTCTCGTTCGAGAAAAAATTTTATAAAATTCAATTATTTTCTTCAGACACACCTTTCTCAATTGAAAAAGTCAGGGTAATCACTATCATCTTTGCATCTCTATTCATGGCGATATTTCTGTTATTCCTATAAAAAAAAATAATTCTAAGATAAGGTTTTCGTGACTTGAAGTAAAAAGAACATTAACTGAATTGTGTCATCTACTCATGAATATATGGGTTGCAAGAACAGCTTATTGCTTAATTGGCTTCTAACTGTCAATTATGAATAAAACACGGCAATTTGATATTTTTTACAGTTAATATTGAGGTAATACATCCAGCAAAAAATGATATTACACGAACAATGTCAGCAGCGTCGAGCAATGTGAGTGAAGTGTTTCGTTTCTTCTATGCTTACGATAAAAATTACGAAACAAATTTGCTAAATTATTTAAGTTTCAAATAACGTATGATGCAAAAGTAATGGAACGAATGTCTGACAAATGTAAATCATACACTGTTCGATAGAGAAGAAAATTTCCTATCAATTAATAAAAAAAAAGTCTTCTTTTCAGAACCTATTTATCGAAGAGATATAATCATAGACATTTTAGGCGAGTTTTTTTATATAAAAAGTGTCCGTTCTTTCGAAAGAGAAGAAAATAAGCTCTATGTTCTGATAAAAAAAAAGACATTTCTTCTAGCACCGTTCTATCAAAGAGAAACAGAATCTAACATTCGTTCCATTACTTTTACGTCATACGTTATTTTTGAAAATATAAAATCAAAGTTTTTGAATTTTTTTTTCTATAATTACAGTTCGTAAAATAATTTATTTTAGTCATATAGTATATAAAACATTTCCAACTAAAATTAAATCAAAGAATGTTTTGAAAAAAAAAGCTCACTAATAAAGCTAAACATATATTTTAATTAGATTATATCTCCAAAAACATCACTTGAACAACATCAATCATTTTCGGTTTGTTTAATTCTGTTTTGTTTTTATTTGATAAATTCATAAATTATAAAATAATAGCTATCATCAGATGGAAAACTACGTATACAAAGTACTAATTCATCGATTAGTGTGATACTTGATGATATAACTGAAGTTCCGGTAAATTAATTTTCATAAGATTTTATCAAATTAAAATAATAAAATGCATTGATTAGATTGATATGATGGTATGTGTGACTACATCGATCACATTGTTAAAGAATATTCTGTATCGAGCTGGTTCATCTATTAAATCACAATATCGTGAAAGATCTTATAAAACAGGTGATATTATTCTTGATGGTGGTTTGACGAAGGCACAAAGAATTCTTTTCGTTGCATGGACAGAAGAAGTTGAAACATCAAATATTGCGCAAGCTCAACAGGTTATTTATCTAGTCTTGTTAGAAATCAATAAAATTCTATTTGTTACTTTTCAAAAGTAGTCATTAGCAAATTTAGTTAAGCGATGTATTGATCATGCAGTTCGACAAAATATGAAATCAATTTCTTTTCCATCAGTAATCATACTTTATTATTTGGTTTTTTAATTTATAAAACTTTGTTGATATTTAAGATTGGTACTGGAAAGATTGGTCTTGATCCATATAAAGTTTGTGAAACAATGGTAATGGCAGCTTGTGAGCCTTTACATAAATGTAAAATGGATGTATTATTTGTTATCTATCCATCAACTAAACCGAATAATGGTCAACATGCTTACCAAGTAAATTTGTTCTATTGCAATGTTTTCGGAATATTTCTTCGTTAATCTAGATATTTCGTGCTTATTTGGCTAGTCTTGGTCAACAAAATGGATCAAAAACAGTCGAAAAATCGTCGATAACTGATGCTTCACTATCAAAATCAATTGCAGTTGAAAAAACTCAATATATTCGCCGAACTCTAGATTGTAAGTCGATCCATTACTTTTCTTTGTACGACATGTATCGTAATATATAACATTTAAGATATTTAGTTTCGTTATGGAATATGTCGGACTTCATAAAGAGAAGATGAGATTTCTGTTATCTTTTTTTTTTATCAAGTCATTAATATTTTTTATTTAAAAATGAAGTATTAACCATAAAAAGTTCGAACAAATGTAATTCTTCGAATAGTTCATCACTAATAACAGATCTATTCACTTAAATAGTTTTTCTATATTATTGAGAAGATCATAGCTAAATCTAAATTCCTATCAAGTACTCGTCAGGAACAATAATTTTGTTGAATCAATGCTTCGACAATTTTTCTTACGATAAGAATTCCTATATCAACTGATGTGGCTGATACAAACAACATGAGCCAGGGTTTTGGACTAGAGAGACCTTAGTCTATCTCCTACAACCCATTGAGCCTTCTTTGGTAATGGCTTCGTCAGTGACATGAACGTGCTTATATCCATTAGAAGACGCGATTTTCACTGACATCTAACGTTTTTCTCAAAGTTTTAAAATATTCATGCAGTGAGATAGAAAAACGAATCAAGCAGAAGAATCGTGGTTTACACGACACGGGTATTTTCGAGAGAACGTTTTCAACTGATCAATCGTTTTCTCAACAATAGCTATTAAATAATGAGTGGTTGACCATGAGAAATTCTCTTAAGTCTTTATATATGTCGGCTTTCTTGAAAATTGGTTTTCCAGATTGATATTAAGTCAGAACTATGTGCATCATGTAGATCCTAATGATCTATGAATATTCTGAAAAAGAGTCCGAGCTCATAGATTATTACTGCCGAGTTATTGAATTTTTTGGGATATTTTTAGTTCAATCTCGTGGTCCCTCTCAGGAACATCAGGACAGCTGAGTTTCCAATTTTGATTTGAAACTTTACACAAAGACAGGCCTTAGCGAGAATACTTTATTGTGAAAGTTTCAGTCTCTTCGTTGTTCTTATCTTAAGATATGGCTATGGTAACAGGATGGTGTTCAGATCGTTTATACATCAACAGATTTCGATGTTCTTATTTCAGAATAGGAACAATCAAAAAGGCTGAAACTTTAACAATAAACTATTCTCGTTAAGGACTGTCGTTGTGCAAAGTTTCAAGACTAAATTCGAAACTGAGTTTTCCTGATGTTTCGGAGGAGGACCACGAGATTGAACTAAAAAATACCCTGAAAATGCAATATCTCGGCAGTAATAAGCTATGGACCCAAACTCATTTCAACGTATTCATAGCTTATGAGGGTTTACATGATGCACATTGTTCCGACTTGAACGCGATCTGGAAAACCAGTTTTCTAGAAAGCCAACATATAAAGATCTAAGAGAATTTCTCATGATCAACAACTCATTATTCAATAGCTTTTGTTAAGAAAACGATTGACCAGATGGAAACATTTCTTCATTAGAGATGGGTATTGAATGTAAGACATTCTTCAGCTTTTAGAAAATGATGTTCGTATTATTGCATTGACTTCATAGACTTTCGCTGTTAATTGATTTATTAAATAAATCCATCCTTTGTCATGTCCCATATCTTGATTTTCTTAGCATGTGATATGAATTCAATAATATTTCTCATTTTACTATTTTATATTAAAAATAAATTATTTATCTTTAGGTAAACAAATATACACTGTATCAGATTTGCCTAATATAGTTGAGCATCATAAAAAGTTGATCAAATCATTAGAAGGATTGATCAAAGAAAAACAATATGATCTTTCCCTTGTTAATAAATTATTATTCAATCAAGTATTTATCTTATTTTAATTTCTAAAATAAATTTTTTCACTTCAATTGACAAGGTCGAACGATTAGTTGATTTTTGTCTCACATATAATATTATACCACGTATTGATTTTTCTAAAAATAAATTAATACTTCGTGGTGATCATGAATCATGTTCACAATGTTTTTCTAATCTTCGACAAGAAAGTTTTATTTATAAATATTCTATTTGTTACATCGAAAAAACATCCGATGAAATTAAAATGAATACGTATGAATCAATGAAAATTGATGAAGCTTTTTTAGTTGGTGAATCATTGGTAAATATTCTATTTATTTATTTTATCTTAAAAGTATTATTTTTCAATGTGAATTTAGATTCGTATTGAACGTAGTAATAATATTATATTTGAAATTAATTTAAGAACTTTACAAGTACAAATCAATGGTGATACAAAGCCTGCTCAACTTTATAAAAAACAATTGAATGGTAAAAACAGAATAAATACTGATTCATAAGCGTGTTTAAAATTCACATATTTTGTTTTAGAGGATTCTAAAATTGTTCCTCCATCAATATGGTTTTCTGCTATTTCAAAGGTCCAGACATGTCGAGTCTCACATGATCAATTTAATTCAATTGAATGTGTTCGTATATTTCAAAAATCAATGCCTAGAGCTGAATGGTATATTGAACGAGTATGATAAACATTAATTAAATTATTATCTGAATACTTAATTTTCTTTTAATAAAAGATTGATGTTATTCAAAATTGGCCATTATATGTTCACTATGCTAGCAAAAAGGATAAAAATGATGTATTGGCTTTTTATGGATGTCCATTTTCATCTGTTCAATCCGTAATTTATTATGGTTTACATTCCAAGGATGGTTTGTTATTTTGTTATTTTAATCAATAAAAAATCTTGTTTTATAATTTAGGTGGACAACAAAATTTGAATTGCTTAACTTCTGTGGCATTGAATAGTCATATATGTAATGCACATCGTTCAACAGATGGAAAATATTATATGTTTGCTGTTCAATTATCAACAAAAAATAGTGCTCATCAGGATTTTACTTATCTGTCTAATGACGATGCTCATTTAGCATTACCGACACATTTGATTGTATATCAACGCAACAAAGTAGACTAAGAATTTTGTTTTTGCTTCAGAAGTTTGATAATGTTTCTTTTACATATAATCTTTTGTATGATCATAAATAAAACCATACATAGTGAGTGTATTTGACAACATGAATTACACGCAAACATGTGGTGAAATTAAAACTGTATCAATTATATTTGACAATGTTTTATTTGTAAAGCTTGTCACCCTTGTTTTATTATGAACTAATGAAGGAGACTGGTCGAATTGTAACTCGCTGTTTGAGCTCACGTTGAGTGCACAAGGATGTCTCGAGGAATGTGGATGGGGGCATCGCTTTTCTCTTCGCCCACACCCAACCCATAGTAATGAAATACTAATGTAATTATTCTTTTATTTTAACACTTGATATGTACAAGATTTTTTTTATCATTTTAGGATAAATGTGAGTCGTTTAAAAGAATACATAATAATAGTACCCCCTTTTCACACCCAAAATTTTCAGTTTTTTCGTTTTTCCTTTTTGTGTACTTAAAAAGTGAGTACACTATAGAATCGGTCAGTGTGTCCGTTCGACCGCCCGTATACACGATAACTCTTGAGAATATGAACCGATTGTCATGAAACTTTTGTGATAGAATCGTCTCATCGATATCTCGGTCGAGTTCGAAAATGAGAACGATTCGTCAAGAAATTGCTGAGTTATCACAAAAAATGTCATTATGTCCTGTGTTTTGCTATGCGAACATTGACCTATTCCGGTTTTCGTAAAAACTTTTTCTCTCATAATCAAAATACACCTCAACTATTATATACCATTCGATAGAGAATTTCACGGGTTACAAAATGGTATATAAAACATTACGAAAAAAAATTGATTGATCGATTTCAAGAAGGAATCGAAGGTGGTCATCTTAAATATATTGGATACAAATCAGATATGAACAAATAGAATTTATGTATTCATTGCACTGGCAATCATTATGATGCTCTCTTACCCTTTCTAAATAAGCCTCAACAATTTATACTCAAACATGACATAATTAATATGAGTTAATAAAATAAAATGAAGGAAAGCTCCATAAACTCATCAAAATAATTAATTAAAATAAACAAGTTTTCATTTATGCAAATAAATAAAGACTCCGGAGCTAACTCCTTGCCGCGTCCTACGAGACAAAAAGAGGGCATCGGCAGGGCCTGAAGGGCAATTCCTTAGTGCGCTCAAGGATGATTTTTTTTAGACAGTTTGATCAAAATCACTCTGTCGTCAATTATTGTTATTTTTGGAAGGATATATAACACTCGGATTTAAATCCGAGGTTTCCACAATTTATTTATGTTTAGTATATAGATCTAAATGCCCTCTATCTAATAAGCACATTTGAAGAATGCAAAGTTATGTTTTTGTATGTAAAAAGCTCGGAAAAAAATGAATTATTTGCTAAAAAAGCCAAAAAGTTCAACTTTCTTTGCAATTTTGCTCAAAATCAGATTTTCAATCGAAAAATTGAAATTTTCCCTCCTTTTTTCCTAGACGATACGGTCAATTGATCTCAAACTTTTTTAGTAAGTACTTCGATCGAATTGGAGTGCATGTTATTTTTTTCTCTTAAAAATACTGAACCTATCAAGTTCAACAAATTTTACAGAACTAGCACTATCCGAAAAAAAGCTGTTTTTAATGGTTTTTTTTTGATAGTGCCTCCGATTTTTTTGCTTCTCCTTGAGTCTCATATTTTTAAAAGAAAAAAACGACACGCACTCAGATTTGTTTCTAGTTGTCACAGAAAAACTCTCAGCCCTAAAAAACATAGTGTGGGTGTTCTGCAGGGAGAAATTTCTGGTCATTTTTGTCTCTTGACCTTCCAAGATTTCCCAGAAGTAAGCATTTGTGAATTGTGAGTCTATGGCAACTTTTATTCTAATCATTGAGATCAATCTACTCTGAAGGTTTCAAAAATTTTTGTGCAGACGTCCTCGAGAAACCTTGGAAGGGATCACCTTAAAGTAACTTTTGAAAAAGCAGAAATGGCAATCCTCTATCTAGGCGTGTACCGAGCTTTTTTGATGTCGTTCTCGAGTACTTTATATCAACAGCTACAGCTGTGAAATAAATGGCTGAATCGTATAATCTAGGTTATCGAAAGATCGAGAAAATGCTACTCTCTCAAATGGAACATACTCGAACTCTGTGTAAGAAGCCTATTATTTTTTATGAGAACTTTACAAACCGAGCATGACCTAGTCCAGGTTCGGTTGAGAAATTTTTTATAATGCAAATAAAATTTCGAATGATTGGAGCCCAGAGCTCGGAGACGTCTCATTTTGTAGAGCAATAGTTTGTCTATACTCCGATCGGTTAGACCACGGGGCCCAGCTTTCATTCCAGAACTACAGCTGTTAGTATGAAAGTGTTCAAGAGTAACGAAGAAAAAGCTCGGTACATACCGACCTCTATCAAATAGTTTTTGACACAGTTTCTCGTTTTAATTTTTTTTTTGCTGTCCAAAATACGGTTAAAATATGATCATTTTGCTAAGAGTATCGGTTTCCTCGTAGACTGAATTGGCACAGCGAGAATTATTGGTGAATATGGTTTTTGTGTCGTCAATGCCTTCCTCTTTCTAACAAAAATGTTTTAGTCTTCCATGTACAGAAAGTATGGAATAATATGAGCTGCCATTTTTAAACAAACTGACAACATTCGTTACCTTCATAGAAAAAGTATTGCGTTAGAAAAGTGTAATTAAAGCAATTGTTTGCTCTAATTCACATGTAATTGTGAGATTCAGTAATTTCAGCTCACGGGTGCTACACTAATGCTTTCTTTCAAATGGTAAAGCAAAATGATTAGGGCGAGATAATTAGGTGAGTAATTTCTACGATACCTGTGCTAATCATCGAATATGCACTTCAGACAATAATCAGAGCTGTCATTTGGGGATGTACGCGTGTATTTCACTTACTCCTCATCGGACGAATGAGTATAGTAAGCTTTCAATCATTGTTCTGTAATATAAGCGCCTCATGATAATTGCTTTAAAGCGTATTATGATATAATTCACATGAAAACGTTGAACGATCAAAATTTCGTCAGAGTATCAGAACTTTTTCGTTCTTCTACTTCCTTTGAGACATATGACGGTACATGACGAGTGTTGTATTATTTTTTATGAAAATGTGAGTCATATATGATTGCTTAAAATATATTGCGATACCAGGAAAAAGCCAGCTGTGGCTGTTGAGCTATAAAAGTAGAGAATTTTCAAATATTATACTCATTTTCATTGAGGTTAATATGAACGAAATTATTCCGATCAGTTCGCTTTACGTCGACGAGTACGTTCCTGACGAACTATATACACTTGTTCGAAATAACTTAGTAGATCAACTTGATGCTCATCTGTACAGTCTTAGCAACCCGGTTCAATACTTGACTGCTCTAAGTTGGCATGGTGATGAAAAGTTAAGTTTATTAATGGTAGCTGCTCTTAATGGATACGATGAAATAGTGCGAATTTTGCTCGCTCATTGTCAACCTCAGCATCAGGTGGAGTTAGAAGGAAAAGTAGCTATCTCCGAAGGAAATTTTATCGGTAACATGACAGCAATTCAGTGTGCTTGTTATCGATCACATTTCACTGTAGCTAAAACTTTGATTGACATCGGCAGAGCTGATGTAAATCGTGATAATGACAAATGGCTATATTACCCATTACTCATTCAGGCTAGTGCAGAAAATCGTCTTGATATAGTTCGTTTTCTCATTGAAAATGGTTATTCTGACGTTAATGAGACTCAGTCCAATGACTCGGACCGATGTACCGCTCTAATATGGGCTGCTGTCAGAGGTTATACAACTATAATCGAATATTTACTCGAAAAGGGCGCTGATGTCAACTACTCTTGTCAAAGCAACGATATGCTTGCATCAACACCAATTACATGTGCTGTTCTTCGAGGTAATATCAATGCGGTACAATTGCTATGCGATGCAGGCGCAGATACAAGCGGCGAGTTTACTAACGGTGCATCGCTTCTCATGACTGCTGTGAAACACAATTATTTGGACGTAATCGATTTTCTAATCAAGCGATCAATAGCTACGATCGATGATCTCGAACTTACTGTTTGTTCACTAGTTGATGTCAATGCGCCAATTGAGCACTTGCGTAAAGCGTCAAAGCTCTTCGCTCTTGCTATGGAATATCGTGCATTCAGTCAGACTCCAAAAGTTTGTATACAGCCAGTTGTTGCCTACGAGTATTATCAAGAATGCCAAACATCCGAAGAACTTAATTCTATTAAAGATGATCGTGATCGAATGTGGATCGAAACATTACTCATCCGAGAGCGTATTATGCTCCCGCGAAATGATTGCAGTTTAATGAAACCGTTACTGGATCGTGGCGATGCACTAGTATCCAGAGGCGAGTTTGACAAGTGTCTTCATTTATGGATTCATGCATTTTACCTGTACCAACGCATGCAGATGAGCACTAGCCTCCATCGATTCGTATGGCTATTCTGCAAAATGATTACAGAAAATCAGCGAATTCCTATTGATCAATTCCTAAAGGTTTGTTACCTGGTGTTCGAACCATCGCAAAGTAATTCGGATGAAGATACTATTTTCAATGCACTGTGCCTTGTCATAATTGTAACAGAGGTAAGCTATTTTTTAATATCGAATAAACCTAAACTGCTTTTTATTTGTTAGATTCTTGAACATCAGATTACAAAAAACGAAGAACGGACTTTGATATTTCAATGGGTTTCCAAGTTATGTCGCCAAAATCTCATCAATGAAAAGGGAGAAACTCTGATTCATTTATGCGTGGACAGTGGCAGTACTACGAGTCTTAATTGGCGTCCTAGTAATACTCGATCTCATATCCAGTAAGTGAACTTTTTAAATTTTAGGAAATGGGTGTGAGTGTCAATTTCAGAGAATAGAAAGCCAATACCCACATCCCTATAATGATGAATTTTAACTAAACAGACCAGTAAGGGACATCTTTCCTCACAGAAACAGTGTTTAACATCATTAAATTGTTTCGTTTGCAACAAAAAATACTTTTATGCTTCAATGTTTGAAAAAATGATGTAGATACTCAACAAACTTCATACAGACTGGTAGAGAAAAGCTTTTCTTTACCGACTGCTTAGCATTACCAATTGACATTGTGAGACTGAGCGAGAGGATGAGTCACAAAATTGGTTCATTAACTTTCACCAATCTTCAATAGTATACAATCCATGTCATTCTATGAACAGTGCTTGAGGCAGATTATTCAATTAGCTAAATACTATTACGAAAATTTCAATAGCAAAAGTCTTGGAAAAACAACAACGTGATGAAGGATTGTTGAAAAAAATCTCTTTTTCATTTAAGATTTCCAAATGTATCTGCTCTTCGATTGCTACTTACTTGTGGGCATCGTTTGTTGAATTTGGACGCTGCTGAACGAATACATGGTTACACACCGCTACACTTAGCATGCAAACAATCTAAAGAGTTGGCTATCATCAAGTGTCTTGTAAATGCCGGTGCTCATATCGATTGCGTAAATTATGATGGAAAAACTCCTATAGACTGCACACGAAACGAAACTATAAGAGCGTTTTTCTATCTTAAAGAATTTCCACATCGTCTGAAATGCTTATCTGCTCGTCTTATTGTTGACAAAAAGCTCAACATTAATGAGTACAGCCTATTAACATCACACTTAAACGAATTCATCTTATTACATGACCAACAAAGGACTAAATCGGATTGTTAGGATTGCCATCTACATAGATTTTATTTAGATGAAAGATCATTAATCTTCTTTTATCATGTGATATCTCTCTAGTCTTTTATACGTACATATATTGCTGTTTGTTTTTTTTCTTGTTGAAAAGGATAATATACATGTTATTGCGATCCTTCGAGTCAATTTTTTGCTTTTCTTTTGTTGAAAAGTTTAAGGTTTAGTTCTATTGAAAGAAAATGATCCGAGCACCGAAAGTAAGCGAAATTAGTATCCTGCAACGCGATTCTTTGAACGTGTGAGTAGGTAGATGTGAGTAAGAGTTGATGACTACTTGTTGGCACTCTATCAATCGACTGGCATTGGTTCAAAGTCAAGTAACAGCACCTACACCTAACAGATATATAGTTTCATGCAAACGTTTAAAAATTCAGTTTCTCTCAAATTAAGGTTTTCATGCCCAGAACAAAAACACAAATGATGAAAAATCTTGGGATGTGGTGGGCATGGATACAGATGCGGATTAAAAGATAATCAGCACTCACACACACACATTCGTATATTTTTCTGGTCTACATGAGTCATACTTATGAGAACAAAATTCCAATGTATAATAATTATAGTAGATACCTTCTTCTTCAGTTCTACTTTTTTCTACGCAATTCAGATTAGTAAAGATATAAAGACTGTTTAGAAAATGCTTGCCTAGGAGAAGTGAACTTGTCTCAAGTATATGTCCACCGATTGCACAAGCAATATTTGGCACATAGAAACTATTGACAACAAGTAGCGCGACGTTAGCGTCGCTAACCCCCTACTGAAAGAATATGGTCGCGTTAAACACAACAATTCGATGTGCCTGCCTGAGAAATTTTGTACAGTGATTGGATGCGAGACATTGTAATGAGAGAGACAAAACGATGAGCATGTAAAAAGTAGAAAATCTGTTGGCATATATCATCAAGAAATATGTGCTTAAGTACTATCTGTCTACACTGCATAACTAGACCGAGTTTGGGTTTTCCCCACCAGATCAACATCGGGGAATGCTGACAGACCGTTTGATCGGCTGAATTACAGAATGACAAAAAATACACACTTACAACAGCTATCATCCTAATGCTTTACGTTACTAGCGATACCACTCAAGATATTCATGAGACTAGTCACTTAACATGAATCTATATAATTATGTCAGTATACATGTACAGAGCCAGAAAAACCTAACACTTATTCCGTTTCATGAAACATTCCATCAATCAAGAATATCGAAATAGATTAAGAGATTGTTTTCTCAATTTAAAACTCAAATGCTTTACACGTGCTACGCGTTGATTTCTCAATGTTGCTTTGGGAAAATTTTCAACTTTCCGCTACTGTTAGGCAGTGTTTCAACATTTTCAACTCAGCTAGAAAGTAATCATGATANAATCAAGTAAACAAATCGTTTGACAATAAAAACATGTTTCTGTAATTGAATATGTAGTAGGTGGTATTGAATGTTCTCCGTTGGACATGTTTTGACTAGAGAACGATATGTATATGAACATGCATAGTTATATCTTTAACCTGAGTCGTTTGTAAAGAGATATATTAAGTGTATCTCATGTACTTTCAAAAAAGTTAGAAATCTATGGAAACAAAAATCGTAGTGACTTTTAGAAGACAGAAAGCGAGTTTCTACGTAATCTTCTGAGATTAACAATGATAAATTGATGTAACGCTCTCAAACTGCTGCGCACCCCATTGTTGCACTCGTATTCAAAACCATGAAATGTTAAAGCATCAGAAATTGATGATATCTATAGTTGTTCTGTTGTTGTATAGCATACATCACTAATTGCTGACATTTCTCGTCCCTCTTCTGATCCATCTGATGTTCACGGTACTTTTTTCTTTGTCAGAAATGAACACCTCATATTTCACTAATAAACTGTCGATAGTGAAGTGACTCTTTTTATTATTATTATTACTATTTAAATAAGCAAATGAGAATTTTGCTATTTCATGTATATGCCAATATATTTTTCTCTTTATCCCTTTCTTTTTCCTCTTTCAAAATACATATGCATGCACATTTCTTCGCATATAACAACGTTCGCAGCTCTTTTTTGTTCTTCTTCTCGAGTCGAAAATAATCGAACAGAAAGCAAAATAACATTATTCTCTTCTCTTTTTCATTTTTTCTCATTTGTATTCCATCTCGCTTGTTAAACAGTTGATAGTATTTAGCTCTCGAATGCAACATGTTCCTTTCACATTACTATGTGATATTATTCCATTTAAACATATATATGGATAGAAAAAAATATAAATGTTAGGCGAGAGCAATGAATTCGTGAATATGAGAATATCCGAATATTATTATTCTTTTAATATTTTGTAAAAAGTCGTATAAAATGAAGCGAAAACAATATGCATAACATATATTTTTCGTTATTTTGCCTAGTTTTTGTTGCCAGAATTATTTAACTCTAACTGAGTTTGTTTGATCCTGATAAGTGATATTTTAAGATTTGAATGTGATTGCACTTGTATTTTAGCTTTTGGAATGGCAATGTGTTTGAGCTAAAATAAGATCTTTATCTCATAGCCATGTGTCTGCCTCCAAGGTGTGAGTATGTAAGCGTCAACAGATGTAATTTTATGACACTAATCTTTCTGTTTTCGTTATAATTGGATTTTCTCATCGCTCTTGATGCTCACTCTTTGATCTTCTCTCGATTGTTATTGATTTTCCCATCTTCTTGGTGAACATTATTATCATTACTATCAGTGGTAACATTATTATTGGTTCTATTATTATATATTTAGTTGTTATTGATTATACGTTTTCATTTCTTGAAACAAAAAGGCATATTAGAAACTATAATAATAAATCATTTTTATACATCACACAGACAAGATAGAGTAAACATTTAACATGAAATCTGTTGTAGTTAAGAAACTGAAAACATCTAGTGGATTTATCATTTAATCTATGTAATTAACGCTGACAAAAAACATAAGTATATCCCCAATCGACTTAAGGTTTTCTTTTCATTCGCAGGCATATCGACACTCAAATCTACATTCTAATTTTCGTAGGACGTTAAACTAATATTTAATTTTCTTCAAAATTGAACAATATTTAGTTTTAGTTTAACGTTGAACGAGCATTAAAATGAGTTGGGTACATGATAGTTCATAACGAGAAATAACACTATTTCTTTATCCGAGGTGAAAACTCCTGAGTTGTTTTATCGTCGTTTGTCTTTTTCAGGTTTAACACAGCAAATCTGTTTATGGAAAGTGTGAAACAGCTCATCAATTGAATGGAACGCTTGAGAGAACTATTTAGTTATAATTAAATTTATGCGAATCCGAAGATTTAACTTCCGCGCCCTGTGTATGTAAACATTGAATGGGTGTAATAGTTCACGAAAGTTTTTCTATCGCATCCATTGATACTTAAATCGATTCGAACAGACACTAATCACAGGCTGTAATTAATGAACTAAGGATGCTAAGCATTCATTCATTTTTCTAGCGGCTACAATATCAAATCCTTTCGTAAAATTTGCTATCTTTTGATAATATTCTACCTGCATTGAAATATCAAACGCGCCTTTGTGTTTGTCGTGAACGACAAAAAACTCTTACATCCTATGCATTAAACTCTCGTGCGCTAGCCGAACAAATATATGAAAAAAGTTTTCTAAAATTGCCCGTTTCTAAGCATATAGTAACACAACAAAAGTACACAAGTTGTCTTACGCAAATATCGCACACCTCTTATCATTAAATTATTCTGATATTGGTAAATGTATGTGCATTTTCGTAACTCATACGAGAGACCCCAGCCTACTCTCATACCTGAATAAACAACAAAAGCAATTCTAAAATCTTCAGTACTTTTTTCAACATCGACTTGTTATGGAATTGAACGATGACTACGATTTTGGAACTTGTGTCATCCTTTTTGTAATCGAAAATGATTTGAACATGTTTTTCTAGCGTTATATTGATTTTCTATTCATTTTAGGATAAACTTCGCACAGAGTCTATAAAGGAGGCGTAATAAATTCTGAGTCTCTTCAAGTGATGTTCTATTTTATGTTTTTTTTTCAGTAGAACCGGTTGATAGTTGCAATATATATATACCAGGCATTTAGATCTACTCTACACTAGAATTTCAGCTTTCTACCTCTTATAGTCAGAGAGACAAAAGCAAACTAAAATTAATAGGAATTTTGTAACTTTTATTTTTCTACGTACTACTCTTGCGTTCTGTCACTTATCCACGTTGTTTTAAATAGAGAAAAATTGCACGATCTCTTTTTATTTGACGATTATAACATGCAGAAACAAGAAAACTTACAAACAACTTAAACGGACAGATAAATTAACTTTTAGTAACTAAGTAAATTAATTTAGTATTTTTATATGTTTTAATCAAATTATCATTTTATTTTTAAATAAAGACAGCAAATCTTACTTACGTATTTATAATAATACAAATTTACATTTGATAATTTATACTTCTATCGTGCTAAATATTTTCGAAAATGATAAAGAATTTAGATCAATTGTATCAGATTTGAAAGATGATGGAAAAATTACCGAATTGATTAAAGCAAGTGAAAGATCAAGATGCAGACCAAATACATAAACGTTGACACACGATTTTTTTCTTATTATGCTTAAAGACTCTCGACTTGTAAGTCTTGTTAAAACTATTGTTTTTTTTCTTTCACATTCTTACTAAAACGAAAGAAAAATCTTCACAAATAAATCAAAAAATTCCCATTAATTTTAGTTTACTTGTATCTCTCTGACTATAAGAAGTAGAAAGCTGAAATTCTATTGTAGATTACATCTAGATGTCTAGTATATATGCTGCAAATATCAACCGATTCTACTGAAAAACCTTATAAGAAAAGAATATTACTTGCAGAGGATTAGAACTTATTACACACCATTTATATATGCTCGTCAGCTTTTGTTTTCTAGAGTAATCTTGGGTATACTGTAATCATTGGTAAACCTATTAACAATAAAATTTTATTACTGAAAGTTTTATATACATAACTAGAGAAGGAGAACGTAATTTGTATTCTGTTCGCCGTATTTTCCTTCCAGTTTTATGGAATTCACATATCTTACGAAAGAAAATAATGAGTGTAAGTTTTAAGACAAAGCTTTCCGGCTCCCCCTATCCCCTATTTTCCATAGCAAATCGAGATCAAAGTTCATTCAATATGAACCCAAGTATTCTAACCTCATCTCAAAAAATAAATTCATATATAAGCATTAAACATCTAACGGCGCTCGTACTAATCATTTGATCAAATGTGAAGCCTGTACAACGTCTTCACTTCTTAAATATTAACCAGAGAAATATTTGTTCACAGTAAGTGCTAAATTGGTCATGTCTATGAAAGAACCCAGATCAAAAAAATCAAATGTAAGATCTTGTAAGATTAGACGAAATCGTACAAGAAATTGTAGTCTCAGAAATCCTCCCAAGTCAAACAATCAAAAGGTTAGCAGTGTTAAACTTGAAAGTTGAATTCAACTTTCAAGTTTGATATATATGACAATATGAGCAATTTAAAAAAAAACATTTCATATGATAACTACTATCGTTCGTTGCATGATACGTCATTCTAAAAACGACATTGAACAGTTGTTTTTTCTATCATTTCCACATAATCAGGAGGCAGACCATCGATTTGAATATTGTTCATTTCATCAAACCATGCTCCTTCAGTCGACATACTAATATCTAATTCGGAAGCTCGAGTTCGCTGTACTTCGTTTGCCGCAATACCCAACTTATCATGGGCTATCCAGATTATTGGTTTGGGATCTCGTATTGCTGGATGCATGTATGTGTTTTCCATTGTATTGTCGTACCGCTCAACTACCATATCCCTTATATTGTTGACAGCGTCAGTACCACGAGTTGTTCCAGGAAGTCTCAGAACACTGATGGCCGTCTTGGCCCATACAAATTTTTCAGAGATGGGAACTTCCACTCGTGAGACTTCTTCTGCATCGACAGGCAAATAGTATGTGAGAGGATCGAAGCTTGACTTCATCACAAATTGAACACCAATCGTGATAACGATTAACACACACATTAATACAGCTTCGGGAATAGCCGATTGTGAACCGGATTCATTTTGTGCCAGGAAGAAAAGTGCCGCAAGCATAATTTCCATAAGATAAATGCCCGTAAACGACTGATAAACTGCTCTCGGAAAGGAAAGACCGCCGGTATCGTTTGGAAAATCCGAAACATAAAACATTGTGTAAACGTAGGCAATGTAAAACAAGCCGAAGGCTAACCCGGAAATGACGAGCACTAAAGGGGCAATAATTGAGTAAACTAGACTGATAACAACGAAATTTGTGAAAAGAGGATATATCGTGCCCCAATCGAGACTGGTAAGTGTGAAGTATCGTTTCCATTTTTTTCGAGGTGTATTGTCAAATAATTTTCCCAGCAGATAGAATGAAATGAGTGTAAAAATTTGTAACAAAACATCAGAAGCCATAGTCAATCCTTGTAATGCCAAAAAGCTGAAGAAGAAATTGCTTGCAGTTGGAACATTTGCAGCGAGTATTGTGGCGGCACTTGTCGGATTTTGAACAATACCTATTATGACACTTGTGACACTACTCGAAATAGTAACGATCAGAAAGACATGAACGACTTGAAAAACAAAGTAAGATCCTTGCACATAACGATCAATGGCATCTGTTGTAGGAATTCCAGACGTTTTTGCGATTAGTCTTAGTACGATAGGGAGTAATGACATTAAAATAGCCAAGAGAACGGTTGGTAAGAGGCCGGTAATTAAGCCCAGAAGAGGGCTTGGTAAGTTGTAAATGAACTGAAGAAAGGTCAGCTTGTTTGTGAGGTACGTTAGGTTAGAGAGAACGCCGACAAAGGCGACAGGAATCGCCCAAAAAACAATGAGAGCCGTAGTTGCAGCCATCATGGCGAGTTGTCTGATCTTTTTCTGGTAGTACGTTATCTTCAAATTTGACCAAACAATATTCTCTGCTTTCACACCGTTGTAACAAGGTGTCATTGCTAAGGGTATAGAGGCCGCGACACTCTGAACTGCCATGTGAGCTGCTATCTGTTTATTGAATTGAATAAATGCAGAATTGATAGCTGCATACTTATGTAGATTTGTTTTCGCCGTTTCGATCTCTGTATTGAGTTGAGAAATAGTCTTCTTGCAATAAGTGATTGTATCAACCTTTTCCCCAAAACATAGAGATGACAGCACTGGAATAGATCCAATTCTCATCGTCGGTCGTTTCTTGTTTGGGATATATTTATAGATGATGTCTTGCTCGAGATCTGCAACAGTTTCCTCAGCTATCATCGGATGCACTTCTGAATGGATTTTTTTTCGACGTTTTGTCTCACTTTTCAGTGCAGCTTTAATCATTTTACATTCAGCTGTCTCGAGTATTCCCAAGAGTTTTGTGCGTTCATCTGCTTTGTCAGGAAGATCTTCGAGATTCCGATTCAACCAGATGTGCCTAACTCCACCTGGAAATTGGTTGAATATTCGGAAGAGAACATCTTGCGACATATATGCTTCGGGGATTGCAGTAACGAGAATTGTTGATGCACTAGCACGCGACTGATACATAGGACTTCTCAAGAGTGCTTGACGTTTTTCTACAAAGCCTTTCATTTCTGTGTATAAGAGGTAGAGAAATGCACCAATGAAAACATAAGCGAGTACCAATGGAGCTGCATAGCGAGACGAATGAAGTGGTAGAATATTGCCAAAACTTAGTACATCGAGACCTTTTTTACCATATGATTCACCTTTCCCATCGATGACATAGACAGGGAATAAAATGCTTGCTACAAGAAAGAACGAACTCACAAAAAAGAAGGCATGAACGTAGAGGTAGCGCGCAAAGAAATAGGCGTCAAGACCAGAGGTACGAATGAGATCTTCTTGCGGCATTCTCAACAAGGAAGGTAGCCAACCATAAAAAGTTCTTGGCAGCGGCTGGGCGCGCCGTCTTTGGTCTACAATATATGTTTTTGGTTCATAGATACGTTTGAATCTTATTCTAATAATGACAAATAATGTGATTTCGATGGCAGCAATGACTGCAGAGGTTACGAGAGTAGTAAGAAATTGTGAGAGCGAAGCGCTCTGCAAGCTTTGAGCAGGACTTGCCGTACTACTTGCCATGTGACAGTGAAAATCGATGGATGTTGTCAAGAAGAACAAATACAGGCTACAAAAAAAGAAATATACGTCGTGTCGTTCTGTAGTATAACAACCACTTGCTTACTAATCCTTGAGTCGCACACAGTGTATTTTTCATAAGTGTATTGCAATCGTGTTATATCCAATATTTTGTATAGTTACTTTCGACAACACTGGAAAGTCGTCGTACGATTGAAACAGACGGGAAAGAAGAGAACGAAAAATTAGGTCAATTATTTTGAGATATTTGTATACAATCGGCAGCAGTGAGAAAAAAACTTGCTTTTAGAAACAATTCGATAGATGAATGACTAGTCGTTAATAGACTGACGCCAAAATTTAGAGCTGCGATGTTGTCAAAACAGAACAAAAAAAAATAATAAGAGTCGTAAAAGAAAAAGGTGAACTGAATCAGATAAAACCTATACCTCCTGTGTCCTTAAGTGGTGTGTTTAGTCACTCGATGAATAACTGCTGAATATAATAGAACAAAAATTAATCACGACATTCCTGCACTCAGGCGTAGGCAGCTCTACCAAAAACTATTTTTCACATATGAAAGACAATAGATAATCATTTCAAGATTTGACGCCTTTTACACTGGGTCTGTATTCAGTTATCTCTATCGATTTGGCTTTGATCAAAAAGAAAAAAAAAAGGGTTAAGAAATTTATCAAGTGAAAGAAATCGGTACAACAATACATCGATCTCAAATTCAGATAGAAATTTTGATGATTTTTTTCTCTTTAGTATTTTTGAATGCAGTAAAATATATTTATCATATTTTATGACTATGATGATGTAGAGACAAATACTCATTACAATTATCTTTTTTTTTTTAAATGTGACAGCTATTAACAACTAGAAACAATGATTCATTTTATGCGTAAATGATACATACCTTATTTTTGACTTTTTTTGACTTGAATGTTACGTTTTTATATTTGTCTTGTTTGAAGATTTACATATATATAGTAGGAGGTATCGTTTGTCAATAGTAACTTTATTATTTGTTCTTATTCAAGTAGCCGTAAAATTATATTCAAAATTCAAATAATTACGAAAAAATCGATAAAAAAGAAGATGAAGAACGACATGGATATCAATGTAGAAGTAGTTGATAACAGTGGATAACTTTCATTAAATGTAAATATCAGCAAGACGACTTTTGAACTTAGTGTCGCTAGAGTGCTTAATAGATTTTTAAAATGTTACTTTTCTGTATAAATCTATTCTTATCTATGTGAAATTTCAAAAATCTTATCACACATATTTTCTTGGAATTTTTGCATAAATCAAATCCGATGATCTGTTAGTAATATTATATCATTATATAGTCCACAGTGTTCTCTAGTAAATATTCAAGTATGATGATAAAATAATAAAAAATTATTTCAGAAAAAGTGATTACACAAACTATTCCTCAACCTAAACTTGAGATCAAATGATTATAGAACTTTTCGTCACAGGAACATATAGTTTCGGACTAATTATTGCAAAATTTTAAAGCACAAAACATTTGTGCATCAATCATAACTTCTATAAAATATTAAATATTGAATTGTAAAAAAGACTGACACATTTATCAAACCAACAAAGATCCTTCTGCAGGTACGGCCGAAGTAATATTAGCAAAAGAGTGTTTTTAAACTGCATAAGCAACAGAGCAGTTTGTGTTCTGGCAAAGAGCTTTTATTTTGTTCAGAGAATCTGAAAGATTTTGATACAAAAGATTCTTGTAATTAATCTAATAGCAGAAACGCTTTTGAGGTATTGAATATGATCATTATTTTCTACAAAAATTAGTCGACGACACACAAATGTATTCCGCTATGAAATATTGAAACATTTTGTCTGTATAATGAAGTGTCTACAATGAAAAAAAAGTTCGGTCATCAAAGAAATGATACAGTTACAATTAATCTTTCTCAATTATTTTCGACTTAAGTAATGAAATCAAGCAAAATCAATCATATTGAAGGGTCACATACATTGACACTGTATGAATGATTTCTTACAAATGTGTAATATTTAGTAAGAAAAGAATTATAAATGAAAAACATGATGGAATTTTACTCCAGTAGCAAATCTAGATTACCGCACAATTATGACAGTATTAATATACAGGCTAATATTTGAGAAAATAGGAAGAATCTCATATGCTGATTAATAGTTCAAGATTATGCATCATTGTTCGATAGAAAAATGGTCTAGCTTGACATTCGAATTTTGAACATTTATAGAATGAACACATAAATTTTTCAATGAAAATAATATTCATATACGTTTTTCGTTATTATCAAGGAAAAAGAAATCGTGACATTTCTTGCTCAATAAAAATGCAATTGAGTTTAGCTTGATATGGATGATGATTATATTTTCAGCTGCATCAACACCCACACTCTCTGATATTCATCCAATAAATACTAATGCTAATAATTTCGTTGTTTTTGAGAAAACAGATACACCTTATATTGATTACTTGCTTGTTTTTTATTATGATTGAATGACAAAACATAGGTTTATACTACTAAAAATGATAAGAACGATTTAAATAATTATGTCTATTACCCAAATCTAAGCTTAGTAATACAAGATTGATAAAAAATACTAATTTCTTTATGTACTGTATTCTAAATTCATAATCTCATTGTCTGATCACAGCAGTAGTGTGCAACATATGCTGAGCTTGATTTTTCTAAATCTTCATTTTCGTTTCATACACAGCACTGTGACTCGATGACATATCAAATTTCTCTCCTGTTCTCTCGTTTCATTTCAGGGCATAAGCATTTGATTGTGCTGCAAAAGTGATTCTCTGTTTTCTTCAATAAATATTACACATATCAGTATCTAAACAGTGTTGTGTTCAATTTATCCAACTAGCATCAATGATTCTGTTGATCACATATATATAATAAATATTTGAACAATTGAGTCAAAGGTGAGACAAAACAGTCACGTAGTTT